TTTGAACTAGTGGGTCATTTCTAACCTATTTGCAAAAAAATGTCTCAGATACACTAATTTCACACAAATTTAATCAAACCAGGCAGCTGTTAGCGGCCTGCTGACAGGAAACACTGCGTTATAAGCTCATCTCCTCTAGACTACAGCAAATCCACACAGAAGAGGTTTGTCCTGGCTACCTTTGGCTCAGAAAAGATTTGGCTGGAGCTTCTGCCTTTTCAGCCCCCAGAGAACCTAAACACGAGGAGCAGAGCCAGAAGAAACCCAGCCTTATCAGACCTTTGGCAGCACCTTTCCTTGTTTCTCCTCTGAGCATGGTGAGCAGAATCTGAATGTGATGGCCAAAGCAAAAACAGGTCATGCCATCTGCTAATGTGAAATCACAGGATTGTAATATTTCCTTTATTGGCCTTCTTTTTTTTTTTTAACTTTTTCATAAATCTTTCATATAAAGACTGACGCTTTTTTCTCAACCACCACTGCATGGTCAATTTCCTCAAGTTGTCTGTACAGGTGCCTGATGTGTTTGGGGATGTTTACAAGAAATTCAAAACCTACCCACATGCATAAGTAGTTCGTAGTGTTCTCTATGCATAATTCTTCTTCCATGTGTGTTGAATTTCATCACTATCACAGTTTTCTTAATTTTTTCATCCTTCTCATGCTTTTCCATTTGACCCACCTACCTAATTTTGCATGACACATACTCTGTCACCTTTGCTCTTTGCCATGGTCTTCAAATTATTAATAAATATCCCAAGCACATGTCATATTTTTAATCTCTGGAGCACCGTATGTGTAAGCCCTTTCCATGCTGAGATGGACCATTTGTTCCTCCTCTTTGTTTCTATTCTCTCAACTGTGGGCTTTTTTTCTCCCCCTATCCATGCAGGACTTTACCCTTCACCTTGTGGTTACTAAGTTTCCTTTATAGCCTCTTCTCAGGAATTTATCAAAAGCCTTTTGAAAGTCTAAATAAAATACAGACACTGGTTGTCCTTTATCCACTGTTTTAACTCTTTTAAAGGTCTTGAACAGGTTTGAGGTTTCTTCTAAGACAGAGGTCATGCTGATTTGTCCCTACTATATCACCCTCATCTAGTGTTACTGCTTTATAAGAACTTTAAATGACTCCCCTGTACTAGGAGTGTGTTGCTTAAGAACAGAAAGCAGAGGGAGATACTTGTCTGTGGAGACTTTTCCTTACAGCCTTCTATCTGTTTGGTTTAGGCCCTGAGGTAAGGAAACAGGAAAACAGATTAATAGACATTGCAATCTCCCCCAAGATACTTCTAGATAAACACAGCCTTGGGCATTTAGAAAGTCGGATTTATTACACCTTAAAAGAGGTTTCTGAAAACCATGGCTGTTTTATTTTAAAGTATGCAGCATAAGGCATGCACTTCTTTAATCTTTGCCACTCTGTCCTGATAGACAACCAAAAGCACAGGGCCCAGGGTTTAGAAACAGTTGTGTATAAACTGGAAACAATCTCAGCAAGCCTTTATAAAAATGAAGAACTCTTTGGGGGCACTGAAGTGGATTTGAACTAAAGCCAAAACACATTTCCAGTACACAAGCTGCACAGAAACAGACACAAATGCACAATTGATACTGGTAGGGTAATATAATTGCCAATATTTTCCTGGAAAAATGAGAATGAAGACAGTGATGTTTGACGGTACATGTATTTTTATGCTCAAAACAGCACTGAAGAGCATACCTAGGCCTCAGTGTTTGGCAGGCGCTGGAGGTCTGGGATCCCAGCTGTGACCCCTGTTGTCTGCAAAGCACCATTACCAGGATACTTGCTTCTTGTTGCTGGTTGACTGTATCCCAAGGTCCCAACGCCTAACTGTGCTGTACTGCTGGTGGGTGTACTGCATACGCCCAGCTCAGATTAAGTATTTACTTTTGGGGACCACTGGAATTTTTTATTCATTTTGCCTGAGCTAAAAGTTTTCAAAAAGGCGACTTTGTCATTCAGCATTCATCTCTTTTTTTTACCTCCACAAAGGCAGGAAAATATATTTGTTGATTTGCTTCTGATATGGGAAAGACTCATATTCCTAGCTACTCTCATCTTGTCATTTTTTTTTTCCCCTGACTGATCCCATTCTCTCCCCGCTCTCAGCTCGCAGCAAACAGGTAAGTACTATAATCTGAAATTCTCTGACTACTCAAAAGGCTCCCTTCTCTTAGAGTTTGCGGTCTATGGTATTTTTCCAAGGTAAAGGTAAAAAGCACCCACCACCATAGGCTTATGCTAGAAGATAAGGGACTAATTTATACCAACTTTCATGCGAGGTGTATAATTTACTAATTAACTCTGGAAGTTTCTTTTGTGGACTTTCTGACTTTTATTTCTTTTAAACTATGAGCACCTGGGAATTTTGGGTGCTCCCTTCCCCTTAAGACTGAGATTCCACAAAGGGGGTTACACTGTTACTTGGAAAAAGATGAGGGACTAAATTAATCTCTCTCTGATGCTGTGTTGGTATGGAGTTCTTTAAATATTGCAATATCCTTGAAAGTAGTCTCCATTCTGAAAGGAACTGTTGGTCCCTCTGGAGATGCTGAGGGCTACTGGAGAACTATAAACCCAGCACTGTTCATGGGCAGAACTGCTAAAACGAGTGCCATCGTTGTTGGACTGGAGCTCTGGGCTGTGGTTTATAAGATTCCCTTTTTGGAAGCTGATACCTGCCTCAGATACACCCACCCACCTGCACACATAAAGGACATCCACATATGCAGAAACAAGCTGAGTGTTGTGGACTGGGGACTTAATATTTTGTATTCCTCTATGATATTGTGTGTTAGGGACTGCGGCTAGCACTTAATATTTTGTCTTCCAGTGCATCTACACAAGCCTCCCCGGGTACACACAGTCCCTAGCATTTGAATTTGTCTTTTTCTGCATTGCCTGAAGCACAGTTTGCTCACGCTTAGGTGATTTACTAAAGGCTGCATAACCACTTGGAAATATGCAAGGCTGTTTTTGGCAGTGCTGGTATAGATATTTCAGTGCCCTGCCTCAGATTGATAGTGTTACTCAGAGAAGAGAATGCAGCTCTGGAAAATGTTTGAGTTCAAAAGGAAGAACCTCTTTAATCACTTAGGCTCTCAGGAAACCCAAGACCCAGTGGGACAGTCTCCTCACAGTTGACACTGTCCCAGAAAATCAGTGGCATTTGAAAGCAAGATCACAGCCAAGGAAGGAAGGCACTGTAGTGATGGAGAGGGCCTCAGCCACTGTGAGTGAAATGGCTACTGCCTGTGCTGCAGCCAACATCTGGCAGGGAGACTTGGGGTTCAGTAATGCATAAAGAACTGAACTTTATTTAGCAATGCTACTTTTTCTCTTTGAAATACCTGTGAGGGTTTGGATCAGATAATCAGCTTTTAAAACCAGTGTGGCACAAGGAACTATTCCAAGTCTCCTGATCTCCTGAGACTATATTCGGGGCCTGATTGGGCAATTTCTTGCTTGCTTTCTTCTCTTTCTCCCCCTCTCTAAATATACATATCCTGACTGACTCCTATGAGATTAATTCAAACAGAGCAACTGCTGGATTAGACCTTAATCCCTTTTCCATCCATTTAAATCATCCTGAATGCTGAGAGATTGTGGTGTGTTCCAGTGCTGGCCTGACTCATTTTATTCTGGCATTTTGTTGCTGTTTTGCATCTGTTTTCTGTCCGTTTTCTTTTTTCTTTTTTCTTTTTTTTTTTTTTCTCCAAATTCTCTAGCTTCAGTTGAATTTGTAACTTGCAATTTTACCAGTATGGTCTGGCAGTGACATCTGTCTTGAGGAGATCACTTTCCCCCCTTCTTGTTCTGCAACAGCCAATTGATTCTTACGAAACATCCCTCTCCATCTGCCTAGCTTTGCTCTGCAGCTTCATGCAGTGTGAACTTTGAAAGGATCAGCTCAGATTATCCACATTTACAGCTATTTTTTTCCGGCAGTGCACCCCGACAGCAGTCACTAACTGACATATACAGTAAGATGACAGCATTGTCCAAAAAGCAGAGGGGTGGGCTACCACATAGAAAACTCTCTGATACAGGAGTTCCCTCAAAGGAAGCGGAGGTCATCTCCCGGCCACTAAAGTCTTCTTAATCTGGAGTTTAACAGGGAGCAGCGCTCTGCACAGCCCGAACTGCGGCGGCGGGATGGGCACACGCTGTCCAGCACAGTGCACGCCGCCCATGTAGCGCGTACATCCCAGCACCGCACAGCCCCAGTTCTGCCCCAAAACACTGCGCAGGGCCATCCGCCCGCCCTCCGAGGGCCGCTGGGGGCTCTTTGGGAGCGGAAGGGAGGTGACGGGCGGGAAGGGCTGGAGGGGGCGAGGCCGCGTGGGCCGGGTCGGTAGGAGGTTCCTCGGCCGCGGCGGCGGGGCGGGAGCCAGGCCGGTGTGTGTGGGCAGTCCCGGGGGGGCCGGGGCACGGCGGCTGCAGAGCCTTGCTGCCCGCCCGAACGCGGGGTCGTGCCGCCCTCTGCTGGGGCCGACGCGGCGCGGCCGGGCGGGCGGGCGGGGGCCGGGGAGAGGGTGGGGTGCGGTGCCCGTGCCGGGCTGGGGGCGGCCTGGAAAGGGTGCAGGCGGTGCTTGTGTTGGTGTGGGTACGGGCAGAGGTTTGGGCGCTCGTGCGGGCTCGTGTGTGGCTGCGAGTAGCGGTGAGCGAACGCTCACATCCCAGTCGTGCCGGCTGCGTTACGGTGCTGAGGTGGATGAAGCCCATGCTGTATTTTGACCCTGCGGGTAATCCAATGTCCCCGTCGCTCTCGGCCTCCACTGCCTATTGAAGCCCTTCGGGTAGGAAGTGGGGACTGGTGTAATTTAAGAAGAAACGACTTGGCTGACCTTGTCCCTAGCCAGTGTAACGTGGCCCGTGGCTGTGCTCAGTAAGGGCAGCCGGACTGGACCATTCCCTCCAGGAACACCAGACACATGATACAGGTGCATCAGGCACTAGAGGTGTAGTCAGAGTGGGGTAGAAATATAGACTCGTTTAGGTTGGAAAAGGCCTCTAAGATCATCAAGTCCAACCATTAACCCAGCACTGCGAAGTCCACCACTAAACCTGAAGATGTCTAGTAAAAGCTGAAAGGTTTGAAATGCCAGTTGACGTGAAAATTTTAGCTGTTTCATTTGTGCTTCTTGTGTCTTGCTGAGCTAGGTTCGTTCATGCTTAAACAGAGTTTTGGATTAACTGGATTAACAGGAACAACCTGTGTGTCACTGTTTGGGATAAATACAGTGGATTTCTTTTTTGGGGGCTGCAGAAAAAAAAAAAAAAGACATATTGGCCCTTCCAGCCACATGCAGGAGAGAGTTGTGGATTTCAGAGCAGAAAGCCTTTCTGTCAATGAGCTCCTGAAGTAGGGAGGGTGCTCTTTGCTATCTGGCATCAAACATGTTTTGAAAGTGTTGTTTGCTCATTGTCATTGGTGCCAGCCCAGATCTCTGTTTGCCAGTGCTGGTGGTTTGGCATCACTGATCTAGAGTGAGATCAAACAAGGGGGAATATGGAGCCAGAGCCTCGGTTTATTTACCCTAGTGTGAGTGAATGGAGAGATGCCAATGTTAAATGTAGGTAAGCAAATACATAATCTGTCACTTAAACTCATTTTGACACTTGGTAAGAATAACTTACAAAGCATCCTGTTGGACTACAGCAAAAAAGCAAAGACTGTGTGCATCTTCTTTATCCCTATGCTTCTCACTAAGGAGAAGGGTTGTAATCCAATCCATTAGCAAGATGAAGCATGAATGTTGGCTAACTCCATATCCCTGTCACCCAGCATAACTTACATCTTTGTAATTTCCCTTCTGTGGAATGTGTTCATCCATTCAGTAGGAAGAATAACAACTGGTATATGAAATACCTTAATTCTCTTAAATTGTGTATAAGTGTCAAGTAGGGATTGGATTTAACCAAAATAATGTTTTAAAATACATTTTAATACACCAACTGAACCACTGAACAGCCAGTATAGAGCAGCCAAAGGCTATACATGTATTTTCAATATTCTTTTATTATGCGTAAGATTTTGTTCTTGTTACATGCTGACAGGATTCTTAGTAGCTTGGCACAACTTAATTTTTTTCTGGGGAACATTTATAAAAGATTAACAAGCAACTCAGCCCATTAGGGGAGCTGGGAGCAGAGATCTCCTGTTCCTGATGAGTGTGGTCAAGGCATTCGATACTATACCATTTCTGATTTGTATGTGTAGCTGGGCCTCTGTTTTTTGCAAACCAAAATGATTAAGGTAACTGAAGTTGTTCTGTTCAAAATTTTTTTTAATTTTTTAATTTTTTTAATGTCTATGAAAGAACTAGCAGAATTATTTTTAGCTTGTATCTGTAAACTACTCTCTTAGTTTGAATTTGAAGGTATGTCCTATACAATGTGCTGCAGACAACTGGCAACTGTGTTTGCAAATAGGCAAACATTACTTAACCCTCAGATAATGCTGGGTTTAAATGATTTAAATAGTTTGTTTGATTATTCATGTTTTTTCTGCCGACTTTCACAAATAATCTATTGAATGAATTTACTACCAGCTATCGAAACAGCAGCATTTAAGTAAATATTAAACAGTGTTTTCACAAGGCTATTTTCTCTTTCAAAAATCTAAATATTGAAGCAGAAACTTGATGCAAAATGTCACATTTAGCTAATCAAGGAAAAGAAATATCTGCTCTCTGTCTGGTATTCTGAGTTTCAACATTATTTTGACTAGTTCTGCAATGAATTGCTGTGGACAACAAATAACTCAGATAATAATTTCAAATGAATAACTGAGAAACTCACAACAACATCTGAAGATCAAAAAAGGACATTTTAATTGACTAAGTTATTCATTGGGAGCTATCCACCCAGCCATTAACTCTGATTTGTGTGGGACTTTGGAGAACATTAGCACCTTGCTCCTATCGCTGCAGGATAGGCTTGTTGAACGTCAGACAGGTGGTTACATAAGACATCTACACTGAATGATTTCCAGAATTTTCCTTCCAGGCCAACAGTTTGTAAACAGCCTTTCAAAATGCTGTGAAAATGATTCCATTTTCCATTTGCCTCTGGATAATAAATAGCAGGAGCCCTGCGATTCACTATGTCTCTTCCCCAGTTCTTCTCCTGAAGGTGAAGTCCAGGGTTACAAGTCAGTTTCTTTTGGGTTTCCTTCATGGTTGAAATTTGTTAACAAAACTTGATTACTACCATGTAAGTAACTTGAGAAGAAATGGCTACTTCTGGCTATTTGCTGAAGCAATCAATTGCACTAATAGTGTAACAGCAATCCTCTGCTGCTACTTGAGGTGTTCCTCCAATTTCAATAGCATTGTTCTGCTGTAGAGTGAAGGGTCTGGCAACAAAAGGCATTGCATGCTCCAGCCATTTTATCAGGCTGTGGTTGGGTGACAATAGGTTTGTTACGCCTCAGAGAGGCTCCATGGGATATTTATGGCTTTCCTCAAATTCAGAGCTGAGTCATAGCTACCTGCACAGCACATATCCCTGACTCTTTGCTTGTTTTGGGCTGCCCTGTTTGTGAATGTCACAAGCATGTTGAATATAATTGAGTCAGGTTGTGGCAAGTGCCTTTGGCTGTTGAAGATAACAAATCACACTTACCATTTTTAGGAGTAATGTTAGTGATCAAAGACCACAGTCAGAAACAGGACTGTATTTTTATGTGAACTAAATATGAAATAAAAAATCTTGCCCTGGTGCAATAGCTGTAGGCAAATAGTAGTTGGTTCAAATGAAGGGCAGGGTGGTGATAATCAGAATAACTTTATATTTTAATGCACGTCTTTCAGTTGGCTAATCCTATGCACATTTTCATTCCATTATGTTTCATTTTCTACTTCCTTATATTCTGCAGATATTGTACAACATGAGTTTTTACATTTCTGTCTCACCTTCCAGGTGCTGCCAACGGCAAACGACCTTCATCCCAGCATTCTTCCGTGGTGAGCTTTGCCTGGAATTGGAGAAAAAGAAAAACTGAAATGAACAGCTCACTGTGACTGTGCAGCTTGAGTCACTTGAACCACATCAGATGACAAACTATTCTTAGTGGTTCTTCCATGCAGTCAACTTATCTTCCAACAAGGAAAGAAACCCTTTTTCTCAGGTGCATGCTTCACCTTTCACCAGGAGATTTGCTTGGCCTCTTTTGCTCCTCTGATGCACTTGTTCCCTCATGTTTTTCATGTATTCTCTGTTCCAGTAAAAGTGCTGGATCTCACAGAATGGAGACAGTTAGGCAAACAAGGTAATCACTGAGGCTTTTATCAGGCAGTTCCTCAAAATTAAACTGAGCAACATTTATCTGGGAAAACATAGCATTGCTCTGCCTGGCGAATTTCCATTACTCTTGCATAATGTGGGTACATTTGGCATAGGCATACCATGAGGTTCAAGTCTCGGGAAAGGATGCCAAGTAGTCACATCTGCTGGCTTGGGTGCCAGAGCAAACACTCCACATTGCCTGAGTCAGGGCTTATGCTTCTTTTGGAGTTCAGAAGACTAGTGGAGGGAAAATTGTCTGTGTAAAGGAATTTCAGCTGAATGTTTATATAGCTCTCAAATTTCTTTGAGCTGCTCTGAGGTCTCAGCACTGATTATCACCCAGATAACTGTTCCCCCAACACCAGGATGGCTCGTTCAAGATCAGTGAGACAATATACTGGGAAAGCACTAGGCTGATAATTTAATGTGGCTTTTATGAGAAAAAGATGTGGAATTCTGTGTTGTATCACTTGCAAGATCCCACCTATTTCTGTGTCATGGTGCATGCAAATGATTCCTCAGACATCCAAAGAAGTTAAGTTTCCTCATAATCCCAAGAATACTGCCCTAGTGGGATGAAATGCTCTCATTCACAACTGCCTTGTTAAGCTCATGTATACTCATATCCCAAGGAAAACTATCCTTTATTTTTCTTCTTCCTTGGGAACAAGAATCTGAGACAACAAATCATTCATCGATTAAATCCCCTGTTTGATTTCATAACTCCTGGGGAATGGCTTGCCTTGCAGATAGTATCAACATGTGGGGACTCACATATCTCCTGACTACTGTTTAATGTATAAATGTAATTACACAGTTCAGTATGATAAACTCGGTACAGACAGTTGACATTGAGAAAGCAGCTAAACTGTTGTTTTCTTTGCCAGTGGGAGTAAAAGATACACAGTGAGATGGTTTAGAAGGTCAATACAGAAGTGGATACCTCTCCTGTGCCAACAGCAACAACACAAAAAATGTTCAGGTGTAAGGCTGGAGGCAAGTTAAGTTTGGGGAAGTTGTCACAGTCCAAAACTAAGATTCCCACAACTATCTCAAGGCACATGTATCAGGTATTACTTTTAAGTCACTCAGAGCAGTTGAATTTCTGTAAGCCCTCTGAAAACATAACCAGCTGTAGCAGAGATACCAGATTGGTACTACCCAACATCACTTCATTATAGCAGGGCTGCCTTAAGATGATAATTTTACTGTATCACAAGCAGCAACATGATATCATAGATTTTGACGGGGTGAGTCCAGGAACATTTAAGATTTTTTTTTTCCTCAGGAGAATTTCCCTGGAATATTTTATGGATATTAAGCTGCAGTGTTACTTCTTCAAACCTATTTCTGCAACATTTCCTTTATCAGTTAAAGGCATGGGTGTTCATGAAACATAAGTTTCAGAATGGCAAGCACACATTTTTCTTAAACAGCCTGAAATAGGTATGTCCAAGTGTTCCTAGCAAAAATGGCTGAGTAGCCTTGGAACTTAAAATGGACAGTGCCACAGAGTCAGTCATACCTAAGAACTTCTGTGTGAGCTGGATTTAACACTCAGAGTACATTTTGGAGGTGACACATGGGGTTTGTGTCTCATTCAAAAGTAATAATTAATTAATTCAGATGTTTGATGGTAGATATTACTAGAAGGAGGTGTTGACTCCATCCATGTGATACATTATTTGCTGCAAGCAATTTATTGCATGTAAGACATTATTCTTCACTTCAAAAAGGAAGTCAGCAAGTATCTTCTGTGGGATATACTTTATTAGGACTCTCTTCAGTGGAGATCAGCAAAGATCTCTGATAGACAGGGGCATTTGCCTGTTGTTTTATTCAGGCTTTGTCTGAACTAGAAAAGGGGACAGACATGGTCAGTGCTTAGAGGCAGATGCAGCCCAGTCTTGGTGGGTGGGAGGAGGAACAATGAAGGTCTTATCACGGCCAGCTCAGCTGCGCTTGCAGCTCTAAGCAGAGCTAATGGAGCAGGCTGTTTTACTTTTCGGAATTTCTGTGCTTATTTCTGAGTAAACAGGTCTGTGGATGTTGCCCGGAGTCTTCTCTGTTTGGCTGACTTCTTCTAAAACTCTAGAATGTGGAGAATGTGCTGGATGTGAAGCACTGGGAGCTTCCTACTGAATCAAAATACATGCTTTTTAATACACTGCTGAAATACATCTCTGAATAAACTGTTTAAAGTAAAGTAGCCCCCAGTAGCCAAGTTAAGTCTGCAGTGAGTTCAGACCAAGCTGCTCAGGGCTTCATCTGGTTGGGTCTTCAAAACTTGTAAATTTGGATGCTGCACAACCTCTTCAATTTCATGGGGAAAGGACACTTGCAATAGTTCAGTTTGTGACCATTGAAGGTAGGAGCTCTACATACCTTCAGCCAGGATACTACCTCTCGGATGCAACACCTCTTCCTCACAGCTGTGGAGTTTCCTCTTCGTTATTGAGCCTGTAGATTGTCAAGATGGTTTGTCACAGGGAACAGATTCAGTAGAGCAGGGTAGAGATGCAAAGGGAATTCTGGACAGTTTTAGCATCAAAATATTAAATATTAAAGCTGCACCACTGAATTGTGCCACCACATCTCTGGACAGCTGAGCCTAGTAATACAACTGCCTATGTCATGATTTTAAAAGTCTCTAGATGTTAGCATGAGGTATTGTGGACTGCATTTAGAAACCTGGAGTTTTCTGTTCACTCTAACAATGTTCCACCTTTCCCATGTCCTGCAGAAACCTTGCAAATCTCCACACTTGCAAATCATATTTAAAATCAAACTCTTTTGTTGTAATCCAGCAACAGTGAAGGTATTTTTGTATTTACTGTGTTTCATTTCACTAAATAGGATTTAAGCTATTTTTCATATTCAGAATTGCAACAAGTGGTCTACCAGACAGAAGCCATTTATGGTAGGATTATTTTATGACATGGATAGTTGTGGAGAATGGGCAAACACAATCCACCTGCAAAGCCCCATTCTCAGAATAATCTTGCAATAAGATACATTATAAAAGAGTAGTCCTAAAAGAAAAAGCCCTGGCATGGACAGTTCCTCAATAATTTCTCTGCATCAGCTTCCCGAGTATGAAATGCCATCATGACTGAGCATAGGCAAGTGAGTGATTTATAAATAAAATTAAGCCTGCAACAGCTAAAGATCTACACTAGACTGGAGAGTTTGTTTGCTGAATTACTATGCAAATTTAACAATTAAATCTTCTTTCAGCTCCTAAGGGAATGAGGGGGATTACTAAAGAGAAGGAATTTGACACGATTGAAAAAAACAGATGAAAATGGAAGGATTCCCTGCAGTTGATCAGTTCTGCCCTGCACAGCAGGAATCACACGGTTAGTAAGAGTTACTACAGAGATTTCCAGAAAGATTTGTACAAAGTAGAAGAAATACAATGAGGAAATATAAAACCTCCACTGTGTAAGTCAACTTTTATTTGTCTTTTTGCAAAACTGAACTATGAATTTATCTTGAATGTCTTGAGTGAACTCCACACTTCATGCTTCTGTATCCAACCAACTCAAAATAACCAAATAACTTCAGAAAAGGAAAAAATAAGTCAACTAAGAAACAACAACTCTCTTTGGTTTGACTGATCTGAGCCTTTTAAAATTTATTTATTTATTTATTTATTTATTTATTTTCATTATCCCTGCTTCCTGAGCTTGGTAGTTAGAACAAGAGACTTCTGTTTTGACAGCCTGTCTCCTGGGTTCCCCACTGAAAAGGCCAAAGCTCCCAGTGAAGCAGCAGTAGCTGCCTTTAAACAGGAGACAAGCACTTCTTGCTTTCCTGTGCTGCATGCAAATAGAGAGGCTCAGTGTTACCCGGCTCTGCCAAGCTTCCCCCTAATGTGCCTTCTGCATGGCAATGGCCGGTACAAGTGATCATCCAGCATCGTGTCTTTGAGCCTGTTAATGTCTCTGACCCCGGTCCACTGATCACCCGCTTCGGCAGGGGACTCGTCATCTGTACAAACAGCGTTTACAGAGCCTGCAGCCTCCTGGCTGTACGTGACAGAGAGCACTGCTTTATGCTCTGGCTGTTCAGCAGAGCTCAGAAGGGCAGCTGCCCCTTCCATGCTTGTAAGTAACACTTCCATGACAACACCTTCAGCTCATTAGTTTTGTTTATTTCTTTCTAGAATGGCAGTATATTTTCTAGAGTTTTTTTAAGTGCACTAAAGAATGGGCCATCATATCTGTTACTAAGCTACCCACGGGGTAATTCAGAAGAAGGCTGGAGGTTTTAAAAACAGAGAAGAGATGATCACACTGCAGAAACTATATTTAATCCTTCAACCCCCACCTCACCACCTGATCCTCTGCTGCAATGCCAGTACCAGAGCCCAATACATACATTCATAGTCACACGTGCATGAAAGTGTGTTTAATAAAATGAGAAACTCTAAACTCCAAATTGATAATACCTCAAGGAAAGGTAGTCAAGATGCTGCCCTCTTCTACCTTGCTGTTCATTTATTTCTTTGATGAGGGAAAAAGTGATGCTGCCTTCCCTTTGCCAAGTAGCCAGTCAGCCCCAGAAGAGTTAAAAGAGCGGTGGACTTTTATGGGAGTGGAAAGCCTATGGGTTATCAGGGTGTTTGTGAAGGTGATCTTTGAGTTGACATGTGTAGCGGTTTTCCTAGGGCCACACAGCAGCTCTGGCACAGGCACCAGTCACATCTCAGTTTTAACCTGGCTGTGTCCCCCAGCCACGGACTTGAAACTGTAAAATCTGTGCCAGTATGAGATATCAGTGCCACAGATTGGGGAAAAAACTAATGGTCCGTTGGCACCATGAAACATGCCCTAAATTTGCACCCAAGAAGCAAAGAAAAGACAGATACAGAAACATGTGAAATCTCCATTTAGTCATATCAAAATCCTTTGCTAATTGCCCTTGGGAGAAAAAAAAAAAAGAAAAGCATTCTATATAAAAGCTTATTTTCCTCCCTAAACTCCACAGAATCTGGTCAAGCTCCAAATCTCTATCCAAAAATTTTTGATAGATTTCACAACACAAATATTTCAAGGCACTCTTGTGTGGAAGACCATGTGTGTGCAGTGGATATTCCCATATTTTTGTTCTGAATGGCCCTTTTTTGCTCCTCCTGTAAAGACTGCACCTTAACAGGAGCGTGTAGGCAGAGATTAGGAACAGCAACAAAACTGGTTTTCTATTTTTTTTCCCTACACATACCTACCCACAGCGAATACTGTTAACTATCATTGCTGCTGTGAGCTGTGCACATGAACAGCAGCTAGGTAGATACAGCAGGCCAGGAATAAGGGTTCAAAGACAAATACACAAAAGACAAATACAGTAGGATTGGTGCAGGGGTGAAAGAGGACAGAGGCAGCAGTGCCCCTCAGCTGGCCTGCAGATAAGGGAAGGGAAAGGGAAAGGGACTGTACTGCTCTGTCAAAAGATACTGAGAGCAGAAGGGGGAGAGAAAATGAGGCACTGACCACTGGTTAAAAAACCACAGAGAAGAGAAAATGTCACCTTCAGGGAGGAGGTGGAGCATTCTGTAAATGCTGATTCAGATATAGTCTGAACCAGGGCAGAGAGATATTGAAATGAAAAGGCTTCTGTTTGCTTTAAAAAATTGCTGTGCAATGACTATCTACTTGGGTCTCTGCCACTTTCTTCCCAGCATTTTCTCCCTCCTATAACCTGGCTTGTCTTATTTGCAGGGGCAGTTTGGCTTACAAGCTGTTCTCTGCCAGCTCACCTGCTATCAGAGCCAGCTTTCACGGTGGCCACAAATTCTCCACTGCTCCTGCCTTTTGCTGACAGCACTTTCTGGAGTAATATGTCTGGTAGCTCAACTTTAAAGCCCACAAGATTTGGCACACATCAGGTCACACTTCCTTTGTGGTCTGTTCATTAGTGTTCTCCATGTCAGGATGGGCATAAGAAGAAAAGACACAACCTGTGACTGAGGTATGCTAAGCCTTCAATGCCTACTTGCTATAAGCCAGAATGCCCATCCCTTGGTTTTATAAGCATCAGCTTAACTCACAACATTAGGGGAAGGGAAAAAAAAATTGCACCCTGAGGCAAATTTTCTCATTCAAGTTAAACATTTTTCTCTTGAACAGAAGGGTCTGTAGAGGAAATGCTGATACAACCTTAACCTTGGCAGCACAGGCACTGAGGCTGTGTTAATCAGTGTAAAGAGCAGAATCTTTGAGCATCAGTAAGGATCCTTGAGAACCTTGCATTGAGTGGTACAGAGAACAAAAAAAGACTTGCAACTCAACAAAAAAAGCTTAGAAATTTCCCTTACTCTGCTGAGGTTCAAAGGCTTCTTTCTCTATATTTGATATGAAAGGAATAAGAAAATAAAATGTCATTATCCACAGTCTTAAAGCTTAAGATAAGTCCTGTCAGCACGCAAATCTTGACAGCTTCAGGCCAGAAGAAAGTAGCCGCACACATTTCTGCTGTGCGTTTTGCAACCGGACATGCCTATCTCGTATTGGCCTTTTTAGCCACCAAACGTGCTTGCAACAAACATGGGTAGAGCCCTTCCCAAATCTTCGTTCGTGAAGCCCAGCCATGATGATGAAAGCTAAAGATAAGTCCTGTCAGCATGCAGATCTTGACAGCTTCAGGCCAGAAGAAAGTAGCCGCACACATGTTGCTGCATATGTAGAAGCTGTGTGCATGTGTGAGAACAGTTGCAACAGGGACAGCCTGTTACTAGGAAGCAGATATGCTGTTTCAGGTTCATGTTACCAGGAGACTTCGAAAAGTTGAAACCTAGCCTAACCAAGCTGCCAATGGCCTCTAATGAAAATTTCCATTTGGAAAGGCTTGATGTTGACTTGGCATGACACCAAACAAGCAGCCTGCTGCAGAATTTTACACCAATTGTATTTCTCCTAATTAAACCCTGTCTGACCTCAGCATTAGGAAACAATTTGTTTCAGGATATAACCAGCACACATAAGCAATTACATTCTGTTTACCCTGCTAGTATTATTTGGCTTCCATGCTTTCCAGTGCTTCTACTATTCCAAATGCTGCCTGGGAGCCAGAGGTATAGAAAGTGTGGAGTGTTCAAACTTTTTTGTTGGGTAGAGGAGAAAGGAAGGAGAGGAAGGGAAGCTTACACTGAAAATATCATCAACTTTTAGTCATACCATAGGCACCCAGAAGTAGGGATCAGATGGTGTGTCATGGTTTGAGATAGCCCCAAAATCCAATTCCCTAGCTCCATCCCCCCTCCCACATCTCAACCTAATGTGAGATGGGTTTTTCCAGACAAAACACAACCAGACTCAGAATGGGGGAAAGGGAATATATTACAATGACTGTACAAATAAATACTATAACACCTTATACACACGATCACAACTATCTCTACCATGACATATAGTATTTACAATGGATCAGATCTCTTCTTCCCTCCAAATAAAAGTCCAGGAGGGAAAGAAGGACAGATCCCTTCCAGTCTCTCAGGGCAGCAGCTTCTTCTAAGGCAGCAGGTCTCCTCATCTCATGCATGCAGCAGTAACTGGATTGTTGTAGCTGGATCTCTGTTCAATACACACAAGGGGGTCTCCAAGCCCCTTGGAGACCGTCGTCTTCAAAACGAGGGTCTTTCTCTTCCGTGGACTGCGTAGCAGGGACAAGCTCGCGTCACCACGTCATACCACGAAGCTCAGGGGTCTTCGTGGCAGTCCCTTTCCTCAGGGGATTCAAATTCCCCTTTGCAGAGCTCTGTGCTCTGTCTCAAGGCTGCTAGCTTAGCAGCAGCAGCGAGGGGGGCCAAGGTCAACCCCCCCCGCATTCCTTCTCCGTCCCGGTCCAGCTTCCCAGGACGCCTTTGAGCTTCTCAGCTCCTCTCTGCAAGTGCTGTAGCACTCCAAGGCTCTTTCAAGCAAGAGTCCATCATCTTCCTCCTTCCAGGAGGTTTCAAGGAGTTTGGGGGGTTTAGTACAGTTCCTACCCCCAGAACTCTGAAGTTCTGCTGCGGGCTCTCTCTTCTGCTGCTTCCTCCGGTTCAGTTCTTATCTGTCCTGGCTCTTATCCAGAGTCTCTGGACACTGCCGCCGCTTCTGCTCTGTCTCTGTAGCCCCCAGCTGGGGCTGGGGGGGGCCAGAGGCCCCGAGGGGCTCCGGGCCCCTTTCCTCGTGGCTCTTACATCATGGCTACTTTCTTCTACCAACCAAACTACAACTCTTCTCTTCCGGTGCTTGTGATATGTTTACATTTCTGCAGGAGCGCTAATTGGACAGAGCTCCAAAACTTCCAGGGGTTTCCACCCCTGGGGGTTACCACTTTTCAGCCTCTGGGGGAAAACAAGGTTCAAACCACTACATGGTGCTTTCAAGTTTTTTCAGGGACAATGAAAGACAGAAGTGAAATGACTTATGCAAACCACTGAGAACATGTATATCAATTTCCTACAAATAAAAAAAAATAAATAAAGAGGATAACCTAATTATCTATTATCTCTCCTAAGCTGTTCTTTTTAATTCAGTTCTTGAACTTCTGCTTTTTATGTGTCAGGATAGAAATATCAGAAATGACAGGCTTTGGTGCCCTAGCACCTGATGGAACACAGAATGCACTTGTCTCTGTGTTTCTGACAGCCAGGGAAAAGTGACTGTGGGAAGACAAGTGAATTAAAGGTGAAGGTGAAAGATGGGGCCATGCTGCACCTCCAGTACTGAGGTGTATCGGTGGAGAATATTCCAGTTTGTTAGGAGTCATTCTCACTGACTGTTCAGTACCACTCAGTCACAGAGAAGATAATTATTTAATACCATATAGGTTGTGAGGATATAGAAATCATTTCTTCATCATGGTTTTTTCACAAGTCAGTGCTCTGGAAGACCTGTGTCCCCTGCATATACGTTGGTGCTCATTGGGTAAGGACCTACCTTAATGAGGAGTCTTGTGGAAGAGGAGAAGGGAGAAGGGGGTGGCCTGTGGACCACACTTTCTGCAATGTGCGCAGGCTGGATAAAATGTGAAAGACATTTGTAGACAACAGAGGAAAGAGAGGAGTAAAACAACCAAATGAGGTGTGCCTGGCACAGGACAAATCAGCTACAGTTTGGAGATCTCAGCATTTTTAGTCCACAATGGGATATGGATAAAAACGAGATCAGACCTTTCTTTGTTTCTTTGCCGTTGTGAGACTGAAGAAGACTGTTCAGATATTCAAGGAACTGTCTGGAAAATAGCAGCAAGATGTGTTTGTGCCAAGGCCATTAACCCTCCATTCTTGCCAACATCAAATTAAATAAACTGAGAAAACAATTTGCATAACACTGTCACAGCGATATACAGTCGAGGCAACCTTTTGGAAAACTGAGCTAATGAAGAGGTATAGTAGAGTAGACACAGTCAGTGACTGCATAGTCAGACCTTAGAGTGACCAAGTTCAACCTCTGAAAACACACTCCTCAGGTCTATGTGCAGTCCTCACATAGTTGTGTTGGACTTCTACGTGGCTCATATGGGCCACAAAGACAGGTCTTCCGCTTTGGTGTCTGTGCAAACTGCTGGTAAGTTTTCCTGGTGGTCTTCTAGAGGCTGATGAGATCCAGAAATGTACATAAATATGTGAATCATTTGAAAGCAACAAGAGAACAGCAAACAGGGTCTGTGATTGCTAGAGAACATGGAGTCAGCTGGTGTGAAAATGTATAAAACAATCACTTCTGTCACTATCTGTACCTGTTCATGCTCTTTACAAGCAGTTGAACCATCTGTTTGAGCAGAACAGCAGCAGCCACTTCCCTGGCTTGCTTTCACTTCAAGTAAGCACATCCAGCAGACGCTTCCATACCAGCTTTGCATCCTGGCTATTTTTTATGTCCACATGGCAGCAAATGGAATAGCAGGATGTGCAATCCAGAATACAAGATCTGAAACTCTGAGACACAAAACAATGTAAGGCACATCTGGAGTCTGAAATCTTTATGCTAAACAGTCACAGCTACTTACAGTTGCTTCAGAATTGCTATAGATTAGCAAAAAAAATGTATATATGGATAATTATCAAAGTATGGTTTAACTTGAGAGATTCTTTCAGTTCTCAAGAAAACATTTAAGCCCGAGTAAATGAAAATATGCATTTTACACATTGGCTAACTATGCTCATTCTTTTCTATGCATTAGCATATTTAAACAATTGACTGTAAAGAATGTGTTGTGCAATCCCACATATAAACCTGAGAGAGTATGGCTAAATCCTATGCTAACTCCTTGAAAACATAAAACTTAATTTTATTTAAGTACCAACTCATGTAGTTTAGTTTTCATTCTTGTTCTGATTTTATTCCCCCATGTCAGTCTCATCAAAAACAAAACAACTACTCAAATAAAACCTACCTTAGCACCTGCAAAGTTAAGAAAAAACCCTACAAAAAGGGAAACTCTCTCTTGGAGCTGTCTAGGAGCAGATACAACATGTTTTTTACAGTCGGCTGTGTAAATATGAAAATATGTGAAATGGAATATATTTAGGCAAGTTTTAAAATGCATAATATTTATTCAACTCTAATAACTTCTTATTAGGAGTCAATAGAGTCTATCAACTAAATGGGTATTTCAACCATTTTCAATAGACACATTATTTACTCAATAGACCATAATGATTCTGAAGGAGGCATTAGGGCCTATTATGCAAATCTGTGCGTATTGTAGGTGTATTCAAAAATAGTGAAATTTTGACCCTGGCTGTTCTACAGATCCTGATGCCATTGCTCCTTAGAAAGAAAATTGTGTAAACCAAGTTTGAATAAAATAGAAAGGTTAGAAATAGCATAGTGGAAATAACAGATTTTTTTTTTTTGGTTGGGCTGCAGAGCAACGAATATAAAAAAAGTTTCAGTTCAACTTGAAACAGTCTTTTTGTTCAACAAAATATAAAAAAAAAATAAAAAAGAAAGGAAAAATAATTGTGTGTCAGAAGAAACATTTCATTTCCCACACAATGTTTTCACTCCTTTTTTACCCAGTAGCTACACAAATAACTTCCTTACATTTTTGGCTGGTTAAAACATTCTCCCAGGAGACCTGCAGTGAATAACCTGCTTGACACTGGATGTGAGAGTGAGAGGTTTGAACATGAATTTGGACCTTTGCTAAGATGGCAATGCCAGTCACCCAGCACTTGTGTTGGTCAGTCCTCTAATTTTTTTCCAGTTATACTGCTGACAAATTATTTCAGGCTGACTGAGAACAAATTAAAAAAAAAAAATTACTGCAGGAAAAAAACCCTATAGAAATGGCCCATTTGTAACAGCATGGGGAAATCCTAATAACACTTGGTAGGTGACCTGATTCAAAACTAATAGGTATTAATGTAGATGCTTCATACAATTTCAGTGGGGATTGGCTCTTTGTTCCTTGTTGCGTGCCAGATACAAATAGATTTCTTTAGTGATACTTATAAACATCCTA